CATTTTATCTAACATAACAGTGTTTTAATTGACTTACGGCCCAGAATGAGAGAAGGTGGAGATTACATAATCAAGTCCTTTCTTTCTATTGTGACAATCCCATCCTCATAATATCTCTTTAATGCAGTGCAACCTGTAGTTATGGCTAGTCAAATATTTTCCATGAAAGCTTTCCTTGTGCTAGAAAACTAGGAAATTAAAATTAAATTAAATTTAATTAAATTTAATTTAATTTAAATTTTAAAAGACTACCCCTTTTCCTCAAAATGTTGAATTTGTCAGCAAACTGAAAACCAAAATATTTGTCTTTCTGGCAAAAAGTAGAAATTTTCCACTGAAATTTTTGATGAAATATCTTTTGTTCTAAAATTTCCATCACAGATTTGTCACTCTATATATCCACCATTTGCTGACCTGCATTATGACAAGTCCTCATCCATAACATTTTCCAAATAGGACCTCATTAGTATTTTGAAAAGTTTGGACACGCAAAGATGCTCTGACAACTGTACTAGTGAGGGAGAGTTACTTTTGGAAGAGATTTAATTCAAGTAAGCTCTAAGTGACACCCACACAAGGATCACAAAATGCTTTATAAATATCAGCTAACTTAGTTCCACAACACTCCTGTAAGGGGGGGAAGAATCATTATTGCCATTTTACATCTAAGTAAACAAAGGATGTCAGTTAAGTGACTTGGCAAGATCATAGGAGATGTGTGTGGTGGAGATTGAAGCAATGTTGGCTGCTTTTCCCCAAACACATACTTGCCCCTATATAGTCTCTATCTGCATGAATTGGGTCTTCTTTCTTTTCTGAACGTTTGGGGAGTAGAGGCTCTTCCTAAGGATACTCATATTTGTCCATAAACAACGGCATTTGCATACAAATGAATTTATTGTCTGTCCATTATTTGCATTAATTCAAACATCCCAGAGCCAATATGCACCCATCTTTCACACCTGGTGCCATCAAGGGGACCCCACATGCAGCTGTGGCCAGCTACAATGTCACTCATCACTGGTGACTGCCCCCTGAGCAGCTTTGATGCTGGCTTGCATGCTCTGCACGTTGCTGACAAGGCTGCCACAAACTGGTGTGGCAAGCTCTACATCCGATAAGAGGTCGTTTGCAGTTTGTTATTTGTCTATTTAAAAGGCTTCCATTGTTCTTTCCAGGAGTCGAAACAGGGTTACTCACAGGCTGGAAAGCGCTTATCCAAACTAATTGATGAATCACAAAATTCATTTGGATAAGTTCACCAATTATTTCTAACCAGGAAATTAAAATTATATCTGTCAGATAAATTATTTGCAATAAACAGTTTGACAAGCTCCATTAGAAATTAAATCCTAATGTGAGGGCAAAACAAAATTGCATCTGTACTGAAGCATTTTGGATGGCAAAAGGTCCACATAATTTGTTGACACGATTAAATGGAAACAGGCCTTACAAATTCATTTGACTTGAACAGACTAGGACAAACTGTAGCCTGGTGTAAAGAGCACACCCTTCTGCTATCTGCCTTAGGTACGGGTTGTCAGGATCATCCCTAGGGAGGTGCAGGGCTTGGGGCAACCCGATCCAGTGCCCCACGCATGGGTCCCAGGGCAACCCTCACCATCCACCACCTGCCCTGCCTCTATCCTTC